GTGGGCCGCGTTGATCTGGTGGCGCACGTCGTCCTCGTGCAGCTTTCCTTTGCCTTTGTTCAGGTGGGGCTGGTCCGCTGTCCGGGACACAGACCCCAGGCTTTCCCTTGGCGAGCCAGGCCGGCGCTCGCCAATCCGTCCCGCCATCCTCTCCGAAACCGGACGATGGCGCGTGTCACCCAGCCTATTGAAGGCAGAGGCTTTTCCACGCGCTGGGGTCGGTCCGGGCCGAAGAGGGGAAGCAGGGTGGGAGTGGGACGACGCCGTGTCCTGGGCTATCACCCCCTCATCGTTGCCCAGCTTGGTGGCCAACGGTCGGGGCTGAGGAGGTGGAGTGATGTTCCCCCCAGTCCTTGGCATGAGTGCGCTGAGGACGGTGGGGTTCTGAGCCAAGCTGGCGATGATGACCGATAGTGCGGCCTGAACCTGTGGGTCAACAGACGGAGAAGCCGTGGCCAAAGGTTGGGCCGGGGCGTTGTCTGTCTTCTCTGCGCGCTTCTTATCCAGGCCGATGCGGGCATCAGGGGCGCCGCCGTTGAGCTGGTTGCGCAGGTCCGTCGTGAGGTTGATGGCCTCCTGGAAGACGTCCCTTCCTCCGACCTGGTCGGCCGTGGCGTCCTCCTCACGCTCCCTGTCCTCCTGATCCTCAGGGATGACCTTGCTGATGAGGTTGCGGTTTGACTTAGTTCTTCCCATTATCAGTGGTTAGCTGTGCTTGGTAGCGACGAAGGATGCTAAATTGATTGTTCTAGCTCTCAATGAAAGCACCAAATGATAGAGTATATATCTAGAGAGAAGTGAGAGCTAGAGAGAGAAGTGCAAGTAAATGCTTCAATAAATGATTTAGTGAACCCTTACAACTACTCCCAGAGGTAGTATTTATAGGGAAAATACGGGCTGGGCTCCCAAACCTTGGGCTTGGGAAGCCCATTTACAACTGGACCGCTATTGGGCCGAATACAATGTGTGTAGAAATGATTAAGTGTAAAATCTAGTTCTGTGAGGCTTCAGTGGCCGACGAGGGTCTGGCCGACGCGGGCACGGCCGACGAGGGCACAGCCGACGGGGGCATCCAAGTTCCCTGGCTTCAGGATCATATTCTGAGTTGGTCCTTTTTCGGCCGACGAGGGTCCTTTGGCCGACGAGGGCACCACTTGATGGCTTGTACTTTCTGTTCTTCTGAGTATGTGGGTCCTGGGGTCTAGACCCATATACTCCATCAATATCCATCTCATTTTCATCACGCAACTGATGTAGTGTTGATGTCGATGCTCTAGTGTTGTGAGCCCTTTCATTAACGCCAACTGCTTCTTCCACAACATCCCAATTTTCCATTTCATTTTCCTCTGCAGCCTCATCAATCCATTCATTACAATCCTCTAGATCAGCTAGGCATATCTTCATTTTCTTAAAAATCGGATCTTGAAGGCGCTGGTTTTGCCGAATGTAAACTAGATCATTCATTTTTTTGGCAACAACTTTGTTCTTTTCTTGCTTTGGACCTAATATTAAGAGATAATATATTAGTTAATAAGTTATTATTTGTGGAATAAAAATAACTTGGTTGAGAAAAATTACATTCTCAAATGCACTCCAATTTCTTTCATATCCGGATGCACTACATGTTAGACTAAGGATGCGCACCGCAAGATGTTGCAGAGTGGGAGAAGAAGAACCATTTAAAAGCCACCAATCAACTACATTTCACATATTTAGTTAAATAGATTAAATTTCATATTTCTTTCGAGATTTGTATGAATAATGTTAATTAATTAATTAAGTTTCAGATTTGTATTGATTACCATGGGGTTGCTTGTCTCGATTGTTGATTGTCAACTTGGTCTGAAAGCTGCCCCTTGCACTTGTATAGTTGGAAATCTCATTTGAGAACTCTACACTTTCACCAATCTCTATGGGCAACATCTTCTCCACGCATTTGATAAATCCATCACAAACTTCCGCATCACCCAACACTCGTCGTGAATTCGGATAAAAGAATTGTGGATTTAAATAATATCCCGCAGCATGTAATGGAGAGTGAAGATTCTCATCCCAACGCTTATCGATAATCTTCCACAACGGCTTGTATTTCTCTTCTCTCCCTCTAAATGTGTTTTTGATTCCGAGTTTTGCTCTCTCCATAGCTTCATATATGAAACCCATAGGAGGCAAATCTCCATCCACAATTCTCAACACCTTCACAAGAGGCAACGAAATCTTCATAACAAAACCCACACTTCGCCAAAAGGTTTGGCGGTAAACTTCATCACAAACCGCTTTGCCCTCTATCGTTTTCGCAAAGTCACTTTCAAACCACTTTGGCGAATTAAACATTTGCCTCAAGGCATGTTTTTGAGTAAGGAGGCTTTGAAGAGTCAAGAAATTCGTACCAAATCTGGTTACGGCTGGTTTCACCAACTCCCTCCCATTGGTAAATTCTTTCATCAAATCATGAACAAGAGTGTGATTATAAATGTAGGTAGTAATACCTTGGGCCTCCTTGACCGTTTTTGCTACTATTGGTATTTTCTTTGAAAAATCTTCAAGAATCAAGTCAAGCGAGTGTGCAGCACAACCGGATGTGAAGATGTGTGGGTATCTTTGCTCAATCTTCCTCTTAGCTAACCCATAATTTTTAGCATTAACTGTCACAACCTGTATCACACTTTGTGGCCCGATTTCTTGAATCCATTCATCAAACAACTTAAACAGAGCTTCACCAGTCTTCTTATATGAAGAAGCATCAATGGATTTCATGAAAATAGTCTCCTTGCTGGAATTGACACAAAAATTTACAAGAGTTCTGTGTCGTTTGTCTTGCCAACCATCAGACATTATGGTGCAACCATCCAGCTCCCAAAATTTCTTATGCTCCCTTACCACGTCATCAGTTTTCTCCACCTCCATACGTAAAAATTTCTCCCTCACCTCATGATATGTAGGTGCCTTAAACCCAGCCCCAAATCTCCCTATCTTTTCGAGCGTGTCTTCAAACAACGGATCACGAACCGTATTAAATGCGATGCAATTTCTATACATCCACAAGCATAAGCTTTGAGCATATTCTTCCCGCTCTTTTGATTTCATCTTCGATGGGATCGTAGATTGGATCAAGTCCCCCTTCTTTCTCTTCTTTGTTGGATAAACAAACTTATCCATAGGTCCACTACCACCTGCTCCCACCGGATTTGAAGAACCTCCGGTTATCTCGAAGCCGTCATCTTCACTGGCATGCTCTGCATTAGATCCTGACTGCCCCCCCAGTGTATCTTTGAAATATATTTTCAAACACGTTTGTATCGGTCCGTGAACTAGCTTCTTTCAAAACCAACACTTGTAGGGCTGCCTTCTTATCTGCCGGGATTATGTCGCATTTTCTGGTGTTTTTGTGATTCCCTGCCAAGTGCTGTTTCATTCTTGTAATCCCGCCTTTGGTCACAAGCCCACGGAAGTTGCATTTGAAAGCATTATTGTCATTCTCATTCACCTTTTTGCAAAACTCCTTTGCATAGGCACTTGACATTCTGAATAAATGCACACAAAACAGTATTCAAAGATTATCAAACTTTAATCAAGCATTGTGATGTAAAACAAAACTGCTTCAAACTGCCAATAACACATAATAAACTTATTAAATGCTTAATATATTATACAGTTAGTATATTATCGAACTGTCAAACTGCCTATCAAACTCCTAATAAGGCAATAACACATAACAAAAACATATCAGATTCTTAAATATCTTAATAAGTTTATATACATAATAAACTAATTAACTGCTTAATATATAATACTGTATATTAGTATATTATCAAACTGTCAAACTGCCTATTAATTATCAAACTCCTAATAAGGCAATAACACATAAGTAAAACATATCAAATTCTTAATAAGTTTATATACACAATAAACTTATTAAATGCTTAATATATAAAACTGTATATTAGTATAATAACATAGCAATATAGAAGAGTATAACATTAAAGCATTATCGTATAACACAGTATATGTGTGTTGTGTGCATAAGCCATTAGTCATATACTCATATACAAAACATACATAATTGAAAGTAAACTCTGGGAAGAATTACCTGGGGGCTCGCCGGAAGCTAGGTGGTGGTTGGATGGGTGCTGGGTGGTCGCAGGATCAGCGCTGGGTGTCAAAGTTATCTTGCTCAGTACCGCAGAACAGAGTTTTTTTTGAAATAGTGCAGATACAGAGATAAGATTGAATTTTGGTATTGTTAGCGTTCGTTTGTTTTTATGTTCAGAGTCACGTTATTGGTAGGGCTGGGAAGTCAGCTCACCCACGTACGCAGAGTCCATAATTAATCTTGGTTTTTTTTTTTAAATTAACGCCAATGTTGGCGATAAAACGGCGAAGGCAAGGCGATAGCGACTAATTGGCGTCGCCTGTTGTAAACCCATCGCAATAGCCATAAAACCTGGCGAAGACCTCCAGAATCGCCAAAGGCGAAAAATGGCGCTCGCCAATATCGCCATCGACTACTATGATATAACTATTAATGTATCACTTCAATTTACTCTTAGTTGTAAATATAGTCAAGTATTATTATTTACCATAAACATTGTGTCTAATATCTAAAGTATTTGGTGTTATATTATAAAAATCTTTGTATGAATATCATTTATCAATTATATTCAATATGTAATTATAACTATACTATATATTATTATTTTATATGAATTATATCTAATATCTAATATGAATTAAATTGTATTATATGGTTTTATTATGAATTATAGTCTATATCTAATTATAAATAAATTAATATATTATGTTCTTTTTGAAAATAAATTGTGTATCGAGTTTGACTACCATGCGTTTATGTTGATAATGCACATCGAATTAACACAACATCCGTGAGAAAAGCATATCCCACGCAATATTGAAGTTTTTTATAATGGTCAAAGCTTTGCCTGACCAGTTATTAGACTAATAATCTGGTGTTTTTTAAATTTAACATGTCTTTTCTGCTCAGAACAAGTTGTTACTGGATTAGACCGAGCTGTAGCTACAATGAAGGAGAATGAGCACGCAATTGTGACAGTAAAATCTGAGTATGGCTTTGGAAGCAATGCTGTGAAGCGCGACCTTGCAACAGTTCCTCCTTTCTCGACCCTTGTTTTTGAAGTAGAAATGCTAAAATTCATAAGGGTAATCTTCAATAACATTAGAGTTGCAAATACTTGCACATGTCTAGGTCCACGTAGTTTACATATACCCTCGTTAGCAATATACAGATTGCAATATAGTGAATAGACTAATTTCAAATGGTATACTAATCTAATACTCCCTCTGTCCCTGAAAAAGGCTCTCCATGTCATTTCTCTTTCCTTCTAACTTCTAAGGAAATAGTTGTGTGGTTCAATGTTTTTCCTTTCCTGCACTTAAATTTTAAGGGCACAATTTAACTGTTCTTAATGAGGCATGCTAAGCCAATGGGAGCCTTTTTTAGGTATGAAGAGAGTATATTGAAATCTAAATACGTCATGTTATATTAAGGGAAAAGGTGCAAATAAGCCCTTGAACTAACCGAAAAAGTGCAAATCACCCTTTTTATAGGAGGCTCTGTCCAGCCGTCGCCATTTGGGGAGGTTCCTAGTGGAATTTTTTGATGAATTTTTTTGAGCATCTTCTTCATTAAGTCTAGTTTACCCATACCAAATTTCAGCTAAAAATTCAACCGGGAAGGCAATCAAATGATTTTCTAAAATATACTGTGCTGTTTAAATGCCCAGTTATCTTCATACATTTATTTGACTGCCTTCCCGATTGCATTTTTAGCTGAAATTTGGTATGGGTAAACTAGAGTTAATGAAGAAGATGCTCAAAAAAATTCATCAAAAAATTCCACCGGTAATCACCCCAAATGATGACGGCCAGACATAGTCTCAAATAAAAGGGGTGATTTGCACTTTTTCGGTTAGTTCAAGGGCTTATATGCCCCTTTTCCCTTATATTAATAAGGTGCATGTAGCTCTTTTTTGTACCAGGATGTTTGCACGTGTTACTTGAATACTGATAGGCCATCACTGCCCAACCAAGAAGGAAAATATTGAACTCCAAAATCTTGTTGCCTGCTTTGTAACATGATTTTTATTTTTTATGGCCATCTACCTTTTTAGTCAGGTTTTCTACTGAACAATGACACTAAACATTATTCTAACTTATTGGACTGTGCTGGTTAAATGAAGCGACACATTTTCCGTCATTTTAGGGGGGTGTCTTTCCTCTCCCATTATTTTTTCATCCAACCCTCCTCTCAGATATCAACCATTTGATCTAGAAGTGAGAATGTGAGTTCCTCTTTTACCCTCCTAGGATCCAATGGATGAGATCATAGGACGGTAAGTGAAGGGAAAAATGAGAGGGATGCCAATTACCATTACTAGATATAATTTATTTTAAATACTCTTTGGGATTAAGGACTGCGCCTGGTTAGCTACATATATCATATCAGCAAAATTCAAGATTGCAATCAGGTTTAAAGCATAATTTGAGCACTGATGTATTACCATATATAAATGTATAAAAGAACAGAAATATTAAAATATTAAAATCTGAGCACCGGCTACGGTGTGTAGCTGTGTGGCCGAGAGATTACGGGTTCAAGTTGTGGGAGCGGCCTCTTGTCAGAATTACACGGGAAGGCCTGCCCCTTATACACCATTGTATTGGGACACTTCCCTGGACCCTCGCCTTGCGTGGATGTCAATGTGCACTGGGCTGTCCTGTTATCAAAATCTGAGCACTGTTTTAAAAAGGTTCATGTTATTTCTATAGCAATGTAAATGTTGTAGAAAGAATTGAAATGCTCACAGTTTACTTGACAGTGGCCTTCCAAGCAAATACTTGTTGGTTCCTAAGGACCTCAAGGAAAATGCAAATGGTGATTCTACAATGAAAGAACTAAAGCAGTTTTGAAATTGAAGCTTCTTATAAAACCACTTTTTGTTTGGAACACAGAACTGCTTATATTCCCTTGTCTCTGCTATTGGTATTTGATATTTCTGTGTGGGAGAGGGGAGGGATGTCGGGGTTGCACTTGCATATAGCTCCTTTTTGACAGAATTCCTAGCAATCTTATGAATCTTATCTTTTGGTTAAAGGAAAAGGAACCTTGGGAAATTAGTATTCACGAGAGAATTGAAGTAGCTAATAGAAAGAAGGAAGAAGGAAATGTACTCTTTAAACATGAAAAGTACGAAAGAGCATTAAAGAAGTATAAGAAGGTACTGGGATTATCTTGGTAGGAATTTAATTTTATCTGGTATACTTTATTAAGTTATTTTGCTCTTATTGATCAACATGACCCAAAACATTTATCTAGGCTGTGGATTATGTTAGTGAAGGCGGTTGCTTTGAAGATAATGATCAGAAGCTGATCAAATCATTACAAGTATCATGCTGGTTAAATGGTGCAGCTTGTTGTCTCAAATTAGATAATTTTATTGAATCTATCAAACAATGTTCAATGGTAATAATTCAGCTTTTGTTTTCTTGTCAATCCCCAAAAGTTTGTTCTCCAATTGACTTGCAACAACCAACAATATCTCAAGTTTCCTAGTAAAATTAGGTTAAATCTTTGCTGCACTGAATATAGTCTTTCACAAATGACCCCTAGGTCCTTGGTATCGAGTCTTCAAATGTGAAGGCACTATACAGAAGAGCTCAAGCTTATATGAAGACAAATGATCTGCACTTGGCTGAATTGGACATCAAGAAGTTCCTGGAAATTGATCCTGAGAACAAGTAATGTAACCAAAATTGGACTTGATTGCTATAAGTTGACATTTATTTCATGATTGTATTGATTGTCACATTCTGATTTTATCTATCTTAGTTTCTTTTATAATATAACCTAATAAAGGCAACATTCCTGAGCAAATGCAATTTTCAGGGAGGTGAAATTGTTGCAAAAGAATTTGAAACAACTTCAAGCTGAGAGCAACAAGAGAGATGCAAATCTGTACACAACAATGTTTGCACGCATGCTGAATGAAAATTCTCCATCTGCAAAGGTCGGTTTAACTTTTTTCGATTGAAACAGTGAGTATCCCACATCAGTTGTCATCTTCTGCACAAGCATTTCTTACAATCTTACTTCCACAGTAAAGCCACCACCCCCATAGGGGAAGGCTTGACATGGTCAAATCATCTGCTTTGGTAATCCTAACCCAACAAACCTGGATGATTCCTACATGAAGGAAAACGTGCACACAAAAGTTTAGGGTCGGGTTTGGAGTCTCGAATTTAGTGCCTGAGTTTTTGTGGTTCTAGATAAGAGCTCACTTCGAACCCGCGGACCCATGCCCTGATGGCCATACCCAATTCTAACATCTTTTCAATAGATAAACCAAAGTTACCTCGGGGGGGGGGGGGGGGGGTTCAGTACATCTGTCATCACTAACAGTATAAACGTGAATGACTCGCTCACTGGCTAATAATTACGCTTCTTTTTGTTTTCAACATTGACAGAGATTAAAAGCTGGGATAAAGGATGCTAACAGAGGGGAAGAGGTTATGGCAATGGAAATAGCCGACAAAGATAATGTAAATTCAAATTCATCCCCTCTTAGGGAAGAGGCATAGGATGCTCCTATCAGTCGTTCCATTTATTTGTGTAACTTTCGTTTAGATTATATTGGTAGTATCGTCTCTGTTACTATCCTACATTCCTACTTATATAGTTATATGCAGATTGCCAACGTCAATCACATTATTGTGTGTTGAGCAGTCTGTTTGTTTGTATCATTCCAGAAAATTAAATCAATTAGTTCAATCCTAATTCTATCTTATGTGGGGCCACACTGTTTAAAAGATTTTCTAAAGATAAAACCTAGGATTTTGACATGAATATTACTAAAGGAAAAACTATGGAGAGTAGTTTAAAAAAATGCAGAAAAGTGACTAACATGACTTTTATACTCTTAGTCTCTTACTAATGTGATTGTTGTTTAGTGACCCTAACCCTGCCTCAGTGACCAATGATCATTATTCATTAGTGACATCAGAGCCTCCATAAAACTGGACACCCTCCCACAGTCCCACCAGTAGTAATCTATTTTTCAATCGCAAACAACTCTTGGTTAGTGACATCAGAGCCTCCATTGAGTGACACTGGCGAGTGGCGCCTGTGGCTAGTGATACTGCTGACTTGGTCACAATGACTGTTGCCAAGGAGATGAAACTCTCAATGTCGTCCACCCAACTTGTAACCCTAGCCATCACCCTTTCAAGAGATTCTATCGCTTGCTCGCCTTTAGATTAACTCCGACAACGTCGTTTGCTGCTCATCCTGAAATATATGTTGGTCGCTTGACGCTTAGCCGCTCACCACTGCTAATCAACCACTTTGACGGATAGATCCCGTGCACCAACAACAAAGGAGACGATGACTAAGAGGGACAATGGTGAAGAATGAGATGGCTATGAATTGAAGGATGGGAAGTAAAGAATAAGATGACGATAAAAGTCTCATTGTTATGTTTGGTGAGGTCGATCTGCAGAAGGTTGAACCCGAAGTTGACTACAACACAGATGGTGTGTGACAATGGAGCAGCGGCCTAGAACGGTGAGGTGAAGCAGTAGCTTGGGATAACGAGGGTCAAACAGGAGACGAGTGACTGTTGTAGGGGGTAAAAGGATTTAATTTTGGGAATTCATACTAGAGTATTGTGATCTATTCATTCTTATTTTAGTTATTTTTTGTCCTTATTAAGACTCATATTTTGCTCCATAATAAGTTAAAACTTAAAAGTATTATATAGGTCATTATTTCTAAAACATATTCATTTGACATGCCAATTTAAGCTCTCTCTAATGCGAGTAGTTTTGTGGACTCATGTGACTCCCTTATGAAGGCATATGCGGTATTATGACATAACAATAGGGATGGACTCGGGCCGGGCCAACCGGCCCGCTACTGTGCGGGCCCGAACCGGCCCGCTACTGTGCGGGCCCAGACCGGCCCGGTTTGGCGGTTAGTGCCTGGTTCGGGCCACCCGGCCCGGTCTTCAAGCGGTTCAGTCCCGGGCCTTGATTTCAGTGAACCGGCCCGGCCGGGTCGGGCCCGGTCCGGGCCTCAACGGTAACATTTTTTTTTTAAATAATAGAAGGCTCCATAGCCGTTGGGAGAGCTCCCAAACGGCTCTATAGCCGTTGGGAGCATAGGAGGGGGGGGGGGGTCTGGGGGGTTAGGGGGGTGGGGTGGGGGTGGGGGGTATACAAAAAAAATCTATTTATACTCCTATTTTCTATACATTTTTTACACCTCTTCTTCTACAACTCTTCCTACTCTCTAAATTCTCTATTCTCTCAATCTCTCATATTCAATCATCTTCATTCTTCATCTTCTACAAATTCTTTCTACATAGATAATGCTAGTAATAATACTGCTGCTATACCTAGATTACGTGAATTGTGTGGTGCTTCTACATTGATGGGTAGGTTTTTTCATCAATGTTGTGTATGTCATATTCTAAATTTGTGTGTACAAGATGGCTTAGCGGCATTAGGAAATGCTTTGGAGGTAGTGAAGGGGGGAATTAAATTGATTTGGGCTAGCACTCCACTAAAAATGCAATGGCGGCAATATTTGAAGGATAGACGTGTCAATTATTGTGCTTTTCCTAAAGATTTGTCTATTCGTTGGAATAGTACTTATAATTTAATTCAAGTACTTGTTAGATATAAAGATCATTTTCCAGCTTTTTTAAGACAAACTTGTAACTATATTATAAACCCGGCTGACATCGACACTTGTGAAAAAATTGTTAATGTTTTGGCATATTTTAATAACGCAACTCTAACTTTTAGTCATGTGTATAAACCTACCGCAAACGAATTTTTTGTTGAAGCTGTTAATCTCGCCGGCGCTTTTTGTGAATTTTCCGAAGCCACTTACGTTAGTTATTTTTGTGATTTCATGAAACAAAAGTTTTTAAAATGTTATTCACATATTCCGCATATATATGATATTGCATTTGTTCTTGATCCTCGTTATAAACTTGCTTACTTGGCAAATTGTATAGATTACTATTATGCTTCTTCTTTTCCAACTCAAGAGTTCGATGATTATCCCATCGACTCAACGAGGTTAGTAATTTATTTCATCAATTGTATAATGAATTTCATGCACAATATGGTAATGCACCCCCTCACATGCAACGGACATCTTCTTCATCTAAAGGAAAATCACTTTTAAAATCCGCTTTTGGTTCTCTTTTGAAAAAAAGTAGAGCAACTCCTCCCGCTACTGAACAAAGCTCAGGTAACGAGCTTTCTTTGTATCTAACATTGAAAATGAAGTTGGTGATGACTTTGACGTTCTTAAGTGGTGGAAGGAAAATGAAAGAACATTCCCGATTTTATCAAAGATGGCTAAGCAAGTCCTAGCAATGCCGATATCAACCGTTGCCGTGGAACAAGAATTTAGTGCGGCCGGCAACGTCCTAACCGATTATAGAACGAGGTTGAGCCCGAGCTCTCTTGAGACACTAGTTTTCTTTCACGATTGGTTGAAGGCCCAACGAAGAACTCAAGAAATTACCATCACTCCCACCCGCCACTTTACGGAGGAAACAACCGAAGACGGAGATTCCGATTGATTTTTTATTACAAAATGTATTACATTTTTTAAATTCATCCTAATTCTCAATTGTACTTCTTATTTGAAATAAATATAATTGAATTTGAATATAATATATTGTAATTGTAATAAGAATTATTCTAATAATATAATATATAATAAAAAAAAATAAAAGATCCGGCCCGACGGGCGACCTGGCCCGTGAACCGGGCGGGTGACCCGAACTGAACCGGACCCGGAGTTATCCGAGCCGGTTCCGAGCCTGCCTTCCGTGAAGCGAGGCCCGGCTGGTTCTAGGCCCGAACCGAGCCCGGCCCGAACCGAGTCCACCACTACATAACAATAACGATTCATTGTTTTAGTGGGGGAGTCCCACTAAAAATGAGTGATTATTGTTATGCCACAAGCTCACAATACCCCATATGACATTTGAAACCAAACTTAACATGCATCTATTAGAAATCCGTGATATTTTTAATAGTCATCATGAATATTAATAAGAGTGTTTTTAATATCTTATCAGATTAAACTTAAATAATTAAATCAGAGCAAATCAGCTTTAGACATTAGTATAATACACAAGACCTGACTATTAGTAGATCATATCTTTTCCTGTAACATCCATATCTCTTACGAAAGAGTAAATAAAGCTAAAATTATTATTCCAAACAATTTAAGTCAAATTTCAAGTGAATACTGATTTGGCTCATTTAATAATTGGATATTAAAAGTTCAAAATACACCGTGGAACGAGCTGAGGCAAGCGGCAAGCGGACAGATTTAAGTCATCGGAAGTAAACTATACCTTATCCTGTAACATCCATAGCCTTTGACTCACACTGCAGAAAATTTATTACAGAATTAAATAAAGGACATTGGGGATATATATATATATATATATATATATATATATATATATATATATATAGTCATTCTCGTGTCCACCAATTTTTTTTCCGAACGCCGTCCGAACACCGCCGTTTGGGGCGGTTCCCGACGGAGTTTTTTGATGAAATTTTTTGAGCATGTTCCTCGTCAAGTCTAGTTTATCCATACCAAATTTTAGCTCAAAATTCGATCAGGAAGGCAGTAAAATAATTCGTTGAAGTTAACTGCGCCAAATTATACATAGAAAAACGCAGTTAACTTCAACGAATTATTTGACTGTCTTCCAGATCGAATTTTGAGCTGAAATTTGGTATGGATAAACTATACTTGATGAGGAACATGCTCAAAAAATTTCATCAAAACATTCCACCGGGAACCGCCCCAAACGGCGGTGTTCGGACGGCGTTCGGACCGGGAGGTGCTGGACCCGTTGGAATGTTCCCGGTTTGACCTACACACATATTAAGGAAATAAACTTACCAGGGGGGTAAATTTTACTGTTTTGACACTGTTTCGACACTGTATGACACTGTTTCGCCACTGTTTGACTCTTTTTTGCACTGTTTGACCCTGTTTTGATGTAGGATAACTTTCCATTTAGGCAGGGGCGGATCCAGGAATGAAGAGTGGGGTGGGCTTAGCAGGAAAAAAATTGTTATTGCAAACAAAAAGTTTAGCTTAGGCTGCTTAGGGCCGTAATCGAATTGAGTTTTTTTCGAACTACGCGAATTCGAGCGTGATTTCGAATTTAATTTAGTATCTAAGCTTAAGAAGCTTTTTTTAACTCGAACACGAGCTAGATTTTGAGTTCGAATAGTTGTTCAAGCTGAGTTCGAGCATAGTGGTATTCGGTTTGATCCGGACTCGAGTCTATCAATAACTCGTAAATTATAGAAATAAATTTTATTTCTTAAAATTTAAACATTTTCATTGCAATTTTTTAAATATATTTGAACACTAACAAAATAGAGTTCATATATCTATTTTATTCAAGCCGAGTTTGAGCGTAAATTAAATTAATAATCAAATAGAATTACATAACTATTAAATAAAACTAATGCACTAATAAAACTATTATAATTTTAATAATAATAATAATAATAATAGTAGTAGTAGTAGTAGAAATAGTATATGACCAAATAAGGATAGTTGATAAAGAGTAACTTAGTTATTTTAATGATTATAATTATGTTTAAATTTTAATGCTTATAAAAGTTACTCATGGTGACTTGGGTCAAATAATAGTAATATTCATATAATAATAACAATATTATAATAATAATATAATATTAATCATAAAATTTATGTTGTAAAATAATATTGTAACTTGTAATATAAAGTGCTTTCATTGATGGTGTGGGTGAGTGGGTGAGATGGGATTGCATAATTTGCAGCTGGCTCCAAACACCAACTACATACGATTGTTTAATACTCCGTATGTAAAGTTTTGCTCCTCAATTTATCCAATATCGACTGCAAGGATGGTTCACCCTCCTGAGTGTCCTATATATAAATCACTTCTTGGTGCAATCACACCAAGCTCTATTATTACGCATCAGGATCATTTGTTCTCGGGATCATTTGTTCCCATGACTATGGGTAGTCATGGGCTTTAAACAAAGTTTGTGAAGCCTTTTGCTTTTAGAGCTTCTTAGAACACTTCCTTGTAGACTTGGGGTGGGCTGAGTTTTAATTTTTGGGTGGGCTGAAAATTAAATCTCTTTCTATACTAACAAAAAAAATTGGGTTGGGCTGGGCTAGAGCCCACCCTAAGCCCTACATAGATCCGCCCATGCATTTAGGGAAATGGGAACTTTCCAACGGGACATCCAAAAAAGGAAAGCGGGAACATTCCAACGGGACGGAGGGAGTATATAGATAAAAGATCAAATACAAACCATGCTTAAAATACTAACCTACAAACTCAATAATATGTAACACTCAGTGAACTTCAATATGCAGTACAAATAATGTAAAGATTTGAACTTCAATATGCAGTACAAATAATGTAAAGATCATACCCCTATATATATATATATATATATTATTCTACAATACAATACTTCGTATAATATAATTACAGTTTGAAGTTGGGAAGGCAATGAAGAAGAAATCTTCCACTCTGCGACTGCTCCTTGTGGTGGGTGTTGTTTTATGTCATCATATAAATGTTGTTTCAGCTGCTGGCAGTGAAGATGATGATCTCTCAAGAGTCGAGTTCCTTCCCGGCTTTGATGGCCGCCTTCCTTTTGAACTCTTCACCGGGTGATATATATTTCGGGTGTTTTACCAATATACGGGAAAGGGGGAGATTGGTTGCCAAAATACGGGGATTTATCTAGGTTTTACCAAATAGGGGGAGTCGAACACCCAATTCCGACTACAAGAGGGTTTCAAAAAAAAAAGACCTAACCTCCTGTCGGATTAGTGAATTCCGACTAGGGTTTTTTTTTTGTTTTTTTGGTAAATTTTTTATTTTAATTCGTAATTCGTAAATTTTTTTATTTTAAGTTTTAAAAACTAAAAGTTTTAAATTTAGGGCTAAATTCTATCCATTCCAAATTTTAAAGTTTTTTAAGATTCATGACATATTTTTTAAAATGAAAACTTAGCATTTTCGTTTTTTGAGTAACAAAACATTTGATTGCTTTATATTATTTTTTAATTTAAAGTTTTTAATTTCTAACTAAAGTTTTAAACTAAATTGGCCAATTTCATTCATGTTTAAATTTTTAAATTGGTCGAATTTCTCTTTTTTTAATTAGTCGCCAATTTAATTTTTAAATTGGCGTAAAGTTATAGTTTTTAATTTTATTTTTTTAAATCCATTTGTATTGTGAATAAAATTCATAAAATGAGATACAAATTTGAATTTGTTTTAAATGCGATTTGTAAATTTAATGAAAGTGAACAAAACAAATGTAGGTTTCAATGTAATTTATTAATAAATAGATAGTACATACAATAATATAAATTTAATGATACTACATCTAACGTTGCGTGCTCGGCCCTGCTCCGTCCCCACCGCTAGTGTTCCAAGGCCCCATTGTGTCTCCATAGTAAAACGATGACGAATCCATCTTAAATTCGACTATTTAAATTAAAGAGTAAAATTTGAATTTCACAATGTAAATTAAAAAATTTACAAATTACTAAATTAACTACTTCTACACTCCTAAAACCGAAATTTAAGGGAAATTCTAAATGTTACACACTTTCTAACTTTCAAGTATTTTATAGCTAAATGTTACTCTAAAAGTCCAATTTCACAATCTAAATTAAAAAATTTATAAATTACTAAATTAACTACTTCTACACTTCTAAAACCGAAAATTAACTAACCTGGAAATTTGGCTGATCACAAAGGTTTGATTTGCTAGTAGGTGCTCTTGCTTGGGTTAGTGAAGCAGATGATTATCTAGAGTACTCCATACCTCTCATAGCTAAGTACAACTCTAAACTTTCGATTTCACAATGTAGAGTAAAATTCTAAATTCACAATCTAAATTAAAATCTTAAAAGTTACCAAAATAACTAGTAATTTTGAAATTCGAAATAACTATAATTGCGAAATTAAAATCTTAAATTCGACTATTTAAATTTAACGCAATTTCTAAACATCTACAATTTCAACTATTATAAATAATAAAAAGTTAAAATTAAAGAGTAAAATTCGAATTTCACAATGTAAATTAAAAAATTTACAAATTACTAAATTAACTACTTCTACATTCCTAAAACCGAAATTTAAGGGAAATTCTAAATGTTACACACTTTCTAACTTTCAAGTATTTTATAGCTAAATGTTACTCTAAAAGTCCAATTTCACAATCTAAATTAAAAAATTTATAAATTACTAAATTAACTACTTCTACACTTTTAAAACCGAAAATTAACTAACCTGGAAATTTGGCAGATCACAAATTTTGATTTGCTAGTAGGTGCTCTTGCTTGGGATTAAGTGGGGATTCTTGATCCAACTGGCTAGGCTCTTGCTCTATTTATATAAAAACAAATTGGTTGGGAGTTCTTGATCCATTAAATAAAAGTTGGTGTTGTAATTAGTGGTCCACACTTCTTCCACAAAGAAATAAAGTTCTTGGTCCGTGTGATAGTACCAAACTTTATCTAAAAGTGGTCCACATTTACCTTTTTCCTTGTACCGTGTAGCTAACTTTATCACCTAAAACAATTTTTTAAAATTTTTATTGTTGTCGGAAGCCCCAAATCCGACTGGAGGTATCAGTTTACCGCCGTCCGATTACGATCCAAGCCCCTCCTCTCTTTTGATAACAGCCGTGCGATAGGGATCCGAGCCCTTATTGTGTTTCTTTGGTGGTTTAGAGTTTATTTTTTGTACAAATGTGGAATAAATATGGAATTATCTAATTTTGATCTGATTGAACTTATCTGATTATATTTATTTGATTAAATTTTATCTAATTGAACTTATCTGATTATATTTATCTCATTAAATTTTATCTGATTGAACTCATCTGATTATATATATATGATTACATTTTATGTAATTAAATTTATCTGATTATATTTATCTGATTAAATTTTATTTGACTGAACTTATCTGATTATAGTTATCTGATTAAACTTTATCTAATTATAGTACATTAGTACGTACTGGTTAGCTTTTTTAATATGTTATTAAATGAATTTTTTTATCATCATTACTAAATGAATTAATTAAAGAATTTTGGAATAAATATGGAATCATCATTTTTTTGTAGTGCGAGTGAGGTTTGATCAGATAAGCAATGTGAAATAAATATGGAATTATCTAATTTTGATCTGATTGAACTTATCTGATTATAGTTATCTGATTAAACTTTATCTAATTATAGTTGTTGTGCAAACTAAAAAAATTCAATAACTACAACAAAGAGAACAAATATTTCATTACTTCAAAAAACCCAACAAGGTATACATTACAATATTACTCATGTCCTCTCCTTGTAGCACGCAAATCCATTTCATTAGGAAATCGAGTTCTCTGTGGCCTACCGGCTCTAGCCGATCTATTGTTTGGGGGCGGGAGAAGTGTATGCGATGTTTCTGCCATGACATTGAGGTAATTATTAATAGGCATAATATCGGAAGCGTACGTTCGGATGTAAGCATTTAAGGAATACACAGCTGGGATGAGGCTGTCTACGGTTATTTTTAAAAACCGACAAACCGCATACGCGTGAACACATGGCATCCCGTTCTGCTTCCAATACTCACACCCACATTCCTGCCTTGTCAGATCGATTGTAACTGGATCATGCGAACCAATAGCTACAGAGTAAATTCCCGTTGTTCGATTGTGCGGGACAATAGTTGTGTGATACCTACGCTGTGACCGCTCAAGAACATCCTTCCATATGTTCTGTGGATACAAGAATCCAGCTTGGTGCCACATTATTCCCGCATTTCGTCGATCGGCAAATAGTTGGACGACTTTATCGAATGTGGCCTTTACTAGTGCTGTGATAGGCAATGTGCGGCATCCCTTTAAGACATTGTTAAAACTTTCAGAAAGGTTTGTCGTCAAAATGCCATATCTTTTGCCATCGTCATAGCTCAGGGCCCACATCTCAACAGGAATCTCATTCAAATATAGAAAAGCACTCTCATTTATGTCTCGTATTTGTTGCATACAGTCGTGAAATTCCTGTTCTGTGGGAGTGCTACCAGCTTGCCAACATAATTTTTTCAGTTCCGCGTTCCTAAACTTGGTCATGAAATTACTCCGTATGTGACGGAGGCAATAACGCTTTGAAACTTGTGGCGATCTCAACTCTCGCAAGGCTCTAAATGCACTTTCAATTCCTGCATGACGATCAGAGATAATGCACACACTACGGTGATTTCCAACCACATCACGCATAACCCTTGCAAAGAACCACGACCAGCTGTCAGCATTCTCACTCTCAACAACAGCATATGCAAGAGGAAATATCTCACGGTTAGCATTCATGGCTACCGCAACTAGAAGAACTCCCTTGTATTTGCCATATAAGTGAGTGCCATCAACCGAGACTACGGGTAAGCAAGATCTAAAACCGTCTATAGAAGCCTTGAATGACCAGAACACTCGGCGGAATTCAGACGTATCAGGAGTGTCGGCCTGTTGTGATTGCAAATGAACAACAGTCCCCGGATTTGAAAACTGTATAGATTCCAACAACATAGGAAGTTCATTATATGATGCCTCCCAATTGCCGAATTTACGCTCCAGAGCGATCAAGCGTCCATTCCAAGCTTTTTTATATGAAACACGGATATTAAATTTTTCATATATGTCTGACATTATCAGTTTAATGCTGTAGTCCGGGTCGACTTTCACTTTTGGAGCGATTTCACTGGCTATAATTTTGGCCGTTAGGAGCCTGTCATCCCGAGCCATGACAGGATCCTCCCTACAACTGTGATGGGGTTGATATTTTTTACTTTCCACTTTTTTGACGTCATACTTTCTCCTGCTTGGATATGCCAAGTGCAAAGGGTCGGGTCTATGCAAACCGCCTTCCAGGACCGTGGCCTTTTGTCAACCGTTCTGAATTGACGAAATTGACGAATGTTTTCTCTCGCCACCGCTTCTTTCAGTGCATCATATGAACAGTAAACTGCGCCTACTTCGATCCTTTCAGGCTCAGAATCTAATGCTTGAACATATGGTTCTTCTAGCTCCACATTAGCCCAGGTGGTGTCTACTACGTCGTCACTATCATCGCTCGTGGATGAATCGACATCACTACTAAAACCTTGTTCATAGTCTGGGTCGTCCGACTCTTCACCCAAGTTTGTGACTGTACAAAGTAGATACATTCATAAATTTCAATATTATTATTTGGGACAAATTATTAATTTAACACAATTCTTGAATTTCTAGAATTGAACACAATTCCTTGTAACACACTATCTAAAATAAAATAAAATTATGGTTTGAATTTTTTGGTTTTAATTTATCGGAATATATAAAAATTTTAAGTTATTTGAAGTATAAAATCTTTTTGTGCTCTGGTCGGATTTGGGTGTTCCGACAGGAGTTTTGAAATTTTATGCGCTGTATACAAATTTTAAGTTTATTTGAATAATAAAAACTTTTTGTGCTCTCGTCGGATTTGGGTGTTCCGACAGGAGATAAAATTTTAATTTTTTTTAAAATTCCACTTCCACTTCCGGTTATTTCATTTATTTGAACTAGAATGTGTTTCTTGTGTAATTAGATAGAAGTATTGAATTTGTGCAGATGAGACAGACAGATAGCCAATTTTTACTCTGAAATTCCTATTTAACAATCAAAATTAAAAAATTTACAAATTACTAAATTAACTACTTCTACACTCTTAAAATGACAATAAATAAAACCAAATCATTGTAAATTCTATTTAACTTGAACAACACATACCAGGAGATTCGTAGTTCTGAAACGTTTGGCAGTTGTTCCTCCGACCATATACGGATGATGGGCCTTCCTCTCTGGGAGTTCCGTGGAACGTCAAAGTTTGTGGCGGGGTCGCTGAAGCTTCCACGTAAATGTGCAACTCCTCATACTCATTTTTAGCGATCCGGAAAAAATGACGCCATGTCTGCTCATCGTGAATGGGCCATAGTCTAGAAGCAACATATACAGAATTCTTATATTTTGGCAATTTTCCGTAAATTAATTTAATTTCGTAAAATCCGTCGCCTCTAACATGATTTAGAACATTCTCATGTATAGTGGTATAATCATCTGCTTCACTAATGAATAGTACCGCCCTATGAGGTATGGAGTACTCTATTTCATCATCTTTTTGAGATGTAGAGCCATTCCAATGAACCATAACAACAATATTTCCCTCACTAGACATTTTTATATGAGAGAAGAATGCCTAAACAGAAAATGTAATAAATATATCAAGAGAGAAAGAAGGATTATTTTTGGAGTGAAAATTTTGAAAAGAAATGAACTCATTTTATAGGAGCTGTTGGGGTACGTACGGTGACCATATAAATGCAGTTGGTAGAATAAATGGATACAGATAAAACACGTAGTGCAAACAATAAAATGAAAATAAAACGAGTTGGTTGGTAAAATGTTCGAATCTCAATTAAACACGTCATTTTTAAAAAAAAATATCAAAATACCCTAGTCGGATTTCCCAATTCCGACTAGGTTTTTAATAAATTTTATCCGCTTTACGCATTGTTTTAAAAAAAAAATCAAAAATACCCTAGTCGGATTCCCCAATTCCGACTAGGTTTTTTTAATTAAATTGGCACTTACCTCTAGTCGGATTGCCCAATTCCGACTAGGGTTTCAACCCTAATTTCGGACTTCCCCTCCAGTCGGAATTGCCAATTCCGACTACCGTAATTTGGTAACCTAAAAGGAACTCCCGTATTTTGGCTTGTCAGACGGGAGATTCCCGTATTTTGGTAATTTTCTCATATATTTCCTCCATAACCATTTCTTTAACTTTCATCTTCTATGGCTTTACATCGTCGTATGGAAACTAGCTGTTACACCCATGCTTATCCCCAGATAATTTTAAAATATATACGTACTACGTAATTTGTTTTCTTTCCCTTATTTTGCGATACCAATGATATACAAATTTAACTTTTAACGAATATCTATGAAAAAAAACATAAATATCTATGAAGGGCAAATTGTGATAGAATTGATGCTCCGTTTTTACTTTTTACCCTGCAAAATAATTGAATTAACTTTCTACAGCACCCGCCACCCGGTAAAGAAATCAATCTAAAGTTAAATTCTGTGGGTTTCAACACTTTTCAACACTTTTCAACACTTTCACATGTTCGGTATATAATTTGATTATATTTATTTATCAATGTATTTAGTGATCATAAATATCATTAAATACTCTTTGTCCCATAAAAGTTACCAACTTTTCTTGATCAATGATGACCAAGTTTGATCATCGATATCCTTGCACAAAATACTTCATCATCATCACCCCAGTACCGTGAGGACTTCCACCTAAAATGAGGTAAAGAGAGTTGAATGTACGCAGCCTTACCTTTGTACTAAAGCACAGAGACTGTTTCTGGATGACGTATAGAACATGAGTTTTTAAAAAATACTTTCATAAAAGTATAAAAATTTCGTCTTTTTTCAAAAATATTATAACTAAAATCATTGTATTATCATTGACAGTGAGAGCTTATTATAGTAAGGAAATGTTAAAAAAAATTCCGAAATAGAGCGGAGTAAAATATGGGTATGCTTCTTTTACCAAAATATACAAAACAAGTGTTATCTGGAGATGCTTTTCATCAGTTTATTTATTAAACTGTTCTTGAACTTTGGTGGATGTAGGTATATTGGGGTGTCTGAAAATGAGGAAGTGCAGCTGTTTTACTACTTTATTAAATCAGAATCAAACCCTAAGGAAGATCCTCTGATTCTTTGGCTCAGTGGGGGTCCTGGCTGTTCCTCTCTCACTGCACTCATCTATGAACTTGGTATATATAGTATATATCTTACGATAATTGTATCCAAATCCAAATATTTAGATACAAGTTAAACTGTGAGCAATTTCTAAAGGAACAAAATTTTACATTGTATACTGAGTATTTTCTATAGAAAATTGTTCTAAATAGGAGCAAAAACGTTTTGAAATTCTCAAAATAGGAGTATCATATTTTTTTATTCCCTGAATAGGAGTAATCTGCCAAGTTTGAAAAAATGCCATGTTTTAAAGCTTAGTAATGTCAAACTTGGCAGGAATTTACTCTTATTCAAGAAATAAAAAAAATTATAGTCCTATTTTGGAATTTCAAAACTTTTTTACCTCTATTTAGGGAAATCTCTCTTTTTTCTAATATTTGAAAAGAATATACAATTTATTTTATTATTTATTTATATTGTTTAAACCATTGAAGTGCAATATTTTAATTGGTTCTGATCATTGTTCTAAAACTCGCTACGGCGCTAGTCGGGCGGTTGAGGGACACCTAGGTGGCTGACTAGGCCGATTAATCGGTCCAATTAGGCCGATTTTTAGAACAGTACGTGGTTCTGATATACTACCTCCGTTCCTAAATAAATGCAACACTTTGACTTTTACACTATTCACATGTTCTACTTTGACTACATTTTATTTATTAATGTAATAATATTATTTTATGAAAAAAATATTGTTAAACTTGTCTCATTGTAAATTTTCATAATCTATTTTTTTTTTAATTTTTTTACTAATACAAAATCATTTATATTAATGGTCAAAGTTGTGTTTCGGCAAGTGTGAAATGTTGACCGTTGCATTTATTTAAGAACGGAGGAAGTACGTGGTACCAAACCTTAAGAGAATCATGAAGTTTGCCTATAAAAATTGTAGGGTCTGTTTAGTAATGGCTGCAATGATTAGTTGATTACAATGGATGAAAAGATCGAAAAGATTAAATCTGTTAAAGTGAAAGTGTTTGGTAATATGTTGATTGAAATGACTGATTAAATGTAAAATTATAGGGTATTCTTATACCTATTTTGTGATTCACATTTACTTCTTTCATTTCCTAAAAAAACACTAATGTTTATTTCGTAAAAAATTACCAGGACACTTCAACAACTCCTAGACATTCCTTCCTAATTTTCCTATTATACTTTGTTCTGAGTATACGTACAATATTGTGTACAAAGGTTCAACGTAGATACACTAGCTTTTATATTCGGTTTCAAAATATTTGTCCTACTTTGAAAATTGAGAAATGCTATAGGTACTCCAAAATAGAATACTCCATTATTACCCCGGCCTAATGTGTGGCCACTAATGGGACAATGCATTTAAGTGGGGCACCACTTAAATGTGTTTCCCTATTAGTGATCACACATTAGGCCGGGGTAAGAATGAGATACCCCATTTTGGGTACTTTAGTCTTGAAAATTATACAGAGAGTATTCATTACACTTTCTTTTTCCAACTATTTTAGAAAAGGACTTATCTAAATCCTAAATGTTTACCCTTTATTTGTGAGTCTAGACGTCTACTAGAGTCTAGAGACCTTAATTTGGAATACACGTACATATTTGTAGGACCATTGGAGTTCAAGGTGGAAGAGTACAACGGAAGTCTATCCACGTTGCTTCTTGCTCCACATTCCATGACCAAGGTACCACACCATCCATCAATCTCAACGCACACATGCTAATGATAGATATACTCCATATAATTTTGGAAAATTATTGAAAATGGAGTATTCCTGAAATAGTAGTAAAATGGTAAAACTTCAAAAGGCAGATGTTAGAAGTAGCATATTGACATCTTATATTTTGAAATTATCAGACTTTAATATGTTATTATCCATACTTAGGCTACCTGCAATCTTCTTGGTCAAATTTCCTATTAGTTTATACGCATTTACTCAGTAAATTCAGTTTTTTCCTGCAATCTAACACCCTCAATATATTTACCCAACATTTTTAATTAAATCCTTACTTTTATTATTATACTTCAATTTCTTGCAAAATTATTTAATACAAATAATTATAATATACAAAATCAAACATTTCGATGTAAAATACATAAATTTGGGGTTTGATTTTTTTGTTAATTCACCCTTATTTTTGAAACAAAATGATTGAAGTATTTAAAAAAGGATATTTTAAATCATGAGATCTTAATTTTAGCATTTGAATCTATAGAAATTGCTCTAAATAGGAGCAAAAACGTTTTAAAATTCCAAATAGGAGTATCATGTTTTTTATTCCATGAATAGGGGTAATCTGCCAAGTTTTAAAGCCTAGTAATGCCAAACTTGGCAGAAATTTACTCCTATTCAAGGAATAAAAAACATGATACTTCTATTTTGGAATTTCAACTTTTTTACTCCTGTTTAGGAAATTCTCCCTTGAATCTATTTAAGAACAATTTTGTACATAAAAATCTTGAGCAAATAAAACTCGGTATTTTTTAAAAACTTTATATATCCAATATTGGTGTCATATGTAAGATCATAAAAAGTTATGACTTTTGATATATTTTGTGAACAAATTGGAGTAGAAATGTAAAAGTAACAATAATTTAAAGAAAATTGGGATTTTTTTGCATGAGCCCTACATCTACTATTATTCACTGAGCATGTTGTTCTTTTCCTCTCTTCCTATGGTGAATAGAGTCACCTAATACCCACTCCCAAGGTACCCCAATTTATATACGAAGTACAAAGTGTGCACTGTACATGTGTATTTTGACAGAAAATCATGTCTCTTTTCAAAAGAAAATCTACCGTGAAAGTCCTTTCTCCAATAACTTAAACAATACTTGTGAAGAATCATGTTTTCAAATGCGAATATAATGTGGCAATGATTTTTTATAGCACATGACCAAAGTGTTGTAGTGAAAATTAGGGAGCGTGAGGGAAAAACTCAATCCAATAGGAATAAAGGTTTTCAATGAATTCGGATGCATATGCCCAAGTTTAAACTTGACCGCTATCTAAACTGTCCTATCGGTATTGGGGGCTCTAAAGGATTGAGTGTTATGCTTTTTGTAAAGAAGCGGGATTCCGGAAAAAGTCAAAAACACTATTAGAAGCAACTATTTCAATTACTAGACTGAATTTACATAGTTA